ACGCTTCTAGTATATATATATATATATATATATATATATATATTGCAGATAACTATACCCGAACTCGACTAACCCCAATCCAAAACAATCCAAGATCCGAAACACAAAATTCGAGATTTAGCTTTCATATCTGAAATTCAATAGGATTTTTAGTTTGTCCATCTGAACTCGTTTGACCCGCACTTGTATACCCTACTTTAATATATTAAATTTCCACTATATTTTGATTGATTTAAAAATTATTTGATGTATTTAATAACTAATAATCCCAATAAAATTAGACAAATAAAGATCCAATTGTGGGAATAGAATGTCAATTTTGACTTTTGAAAAGTCATACTATTTCATTCTTTTTTACTTTTAGTCAAAAATATTGGTTTGACTTTTATTGCTGCTATAAAATGCTTGCTTAAGTTTGGGTTTTTTTTGCAATTCTTTTCAATTAACAAATTCATTAATATTTATAAATTGTTATATTTGGTTTTGATTTTTTTTTAGAGTTGTTATTTAAATCAAAAATAAGAATAACAGTTATGGTGAGAATTCTGAGAACGTTTCTAAGCTTTTGGATGAGTTGATTTTTTAATCTAATTTAATTTTCTTTCATTGCATTCATCTAACGTCGTCTTCATTTTTAAGACACTTTCACGGACTTTTATATACATTTAGGTGTTATTTGATTTTAAGAGGTGCTGAAGTGTGAAATCTTATTTTAATTCTGATTAATAAGTGGTGTGGCTGAAGTCTGAAAGCATAATTAATAAGATTGTTTGTTTTTATAACCGACAAATGTCTAAATCTGTATAATTATCTATTTTACCTTTCAAAATATTATAATATTAAATATATATATATATATACATACAATTTTAAGGTTAATCAAATGAGAGAGGAGTGATTGAGAAACACTTTGAGGATCTAGAGAACAATAAGAAGCAAATAAGGGGTTTGTTTACCTCTTACCAGATAAGAGAACGGAAAGATATAAGTGCTTCTGAAAATTTGGAAAAAAACAAACGGTCTGAATGACCCTACCTCTTACCGATTCAGACATAAAATGCTAATAAGAGCTTTTTTTTTTTTTAAACAAACAAGGCCTTAATCATTTTCACATGCATGAATTTGTTAAAGTTTCGATGATGATAATAAAAATAAATAAATAAAAGTAGTTGAATATAAAAGAATGTATAGGAAGGTTTTGTTCTCATCTTAAAATTATAATCTTGATTCTCATCATAGTTTCAACTTTACATGTAATGCATAATATATATTAAATTTCTAAGTTTACAAGTAATTGTAGCATACATATAATTTTTTTAATTATAATAAAATATTAAATTATATAAAAAAATCAATTTATAATTTGACAGCAACATCGATATTTTTTTTCCAGGTTTTTTACAAAGTCTTTTATTTAGCAGGACATGTTATATTATTACTTGTGATTTTTATTTTACTTAAATAAAAATTGCCATAACCTGATACAATCCAATACCTACAGTTACGGGTGCTCAAAAACTCGACCAACTGAACCCAACGCGAAATAACTCAACCTGAAGCAACCTGATGTCTAATCGAGTTGTAAAAGTTTCAAACCGTAGGTATTGAGTTACTATTATTTGAACYYAACYCAACCCGATGAACCCGATATCCTTTTATTTCTTGGATTTGATATGATGATTGAGTTTATATTAATATATACATTAGACAATTACACTATTACATACGCTCTTCATATATACATATTTTCAATCTATTCTTCATCTCTATATAACTCATTCGTATACATGTTCAGTAACTGTGAACATATATATGTAAATTGAGAAAATTGGTTGAATGTGATATACGTAAGAAGTATGGATAAGTTCTATCAAATGATTGATGATGGAAAAAAAAATTATAAGTAGAGAAATTACATGTTCAAGGTTAGAAAAATAATTTAATGTAACAAAATATCAACCCGACCAACCCAATCAACCCGTATGGTTTGTATTGGGTTGGGTTGCACTTTGGTTTGAGTTGGGTTGAGTTAAGATTTTCCAAACCGCAAACATTAGGTTGGTTATTCAAATGTATTCAACCCGATCAACCCAACCCATCAACACTCATACCTACAGTTTGAAGATTTTACAATTCGATTACATAAGGTTGCTTCGGATTGGATTATTTCGTGTTGGATTATGTTGGTCGGATTTTTAAGTACTCGTTGCTGAAATATATTTATAAAGACAAAGGGAATATATAAATTTTGAGTAATAGATTTGATGCTTTTTTATTGGTATGTTAATGATTTTCTACGCAAGATAACATATGCTCTTCGCACTCAAACTATGAGGATCATAAAGACAAAAGAATAATTCTAAGAGTAAATTACATGTTTAGTCCCTATGGTTATATAGTTTAACAGTTCTTATCTTTTTTTTCTTAAATTTAACAAATTGGGTCCTTGTGGTCATACTTTTAAAACAAGTTTGGTTTTTAATGTAACCATATGGATCTATGTTGTTGATTTATTTAAAAAGCAAACTCATTACAAAACTGCAATTACAAGTATTGAACTCGTTAAAAAACACAACTGTGAAGATGTAATTCGTTAAGAAACACAACCATAAAACACATTTCATTTTCAAAAAATGAACAAGAACCGTTAAGAACATATACTGATAAGAATTAAATATTTAAATAATATGTATAAAAAATGGTTTTTAAGAATTTGTCTTAAATGTTTTATAATATATTATAAATATATCTATATTATATTATAAATCATTAGACAAAAACTCTTAAAAACCATTTTTATGCATCAAGTACTGTTTATTGATGCACATTATTTAAAATTCAAGATTACAAGTATCATGTATGTAAGTACATCTTATTAAAGCTTCATGTTTAAATTCGTGTAACTAAATACATAAAAAATCTTAAAGTATTTTTGAAAGTGTTTTTTGAGATTTTATAGAAAAAACACATACACAAGTCATAAACCTTCAATTCATAAATGGATCAAGGCCAAAAAAATGGCATTTGACCCTTTGGAAAATAAATGGCATTTTAGTAATATCTGTATATTTTCAAAAACCAGAATCTCATAACCGATCTGATCATTTAACTAGTCTTGCAAATACTATGTCATTCAAAATCAGTAACCGATATCCTCCAACCTGGTTTTTCTTAACCAGTCTCGGGCTTTAGGCCCATCTAAGAGTCTACAGTAAATGGTACAAGAGTTGTTCAATAATCGTTCTTCTTTCTAACGGTTTTTTCTCTTCTCATACTTACTCATTCTATGCTCAAGGATATATGGCCTTCTATGTTTTACGTCCTAGATACATCTCGTATACGTTCCATATTTATACCTTGATCTGCTTCTTTTACATAAATGTATGCCACCTTCTTGGTGTATATAAAGAACAAGACTCTTGATGCTTAAACCCTTATAACATGACCAACCTGTCTATTTAAATATCAATGTTAATCCAATTTTTTAAAGTTTAATAAAATAAAGTACAAAAAAAGAGAACAATACTATACATATAAAAGACAAGGCATTTATATATAAAATAAAATTTATAATATATAATGTAAAAAACTACTCATTGTGTCCGAAAATAAGTGTCTACTTTCAAAAGTAAATGTCTACTTTTTAATTTTATTCTTAATTATGAGATTGATAAAAAAAATTCTCTCTCTCTCTCTCTCTCTCTCTCTCTCTATATATATATATATATATATATACATACATATAAGTAGGGGTAGAATTGTCTTTTTATTAATTAAAAAATATAATAATTGCATATTTCAAATATTGTATACATTTTTTATGGTGGGTATTTATTTTGGGACGGCATTGAGTACATAATTTATATTAAATTTGTTTATGGGTTTAAAACAAGACATTCAAGTCAGGATTCAGACTAAATAGTAAAATTCATGTTTTTCTCACTCATGATCTGTTGCAATAAGCGTCACATCTTCAAATTTCTTATAAACGTTTTGTAACACAAAAAAACATGCAAATCCATAGATTTCAAAACAATTTCACACGTAATGGATATTCTAAGTCTATAGTAAGTGATCAAAAATACTATATTTATTTGACGCAACATTAGACATGGACAGAATAGGACCAGTGAGACAAATAAACACATCTTTTTGTGTCCCACGAATATAAATTGAACAAAAATTTGGGAGATGAGACAACATACAAGTGTCCGGAAAATCTTTGGTTGGTCCGAAAAATTATGAAGGGTACAATTGTCTTTTGCTTGATTAAAAAGTGTAATAATTACATATTCTTTAAATTGTATGTCATTTTGATTGCTGATATTTATTTTCGAATGGAATGAGTAACAAATATTAAAGAGGCCAAATTATGCATCTATTTCCGTTGTTTTGGCTTTCACAAAAAAACCAATTTCTTTAACGAATTTCCAACGAGTTTTGGATCATTTCGAGAGGGATTGCGTATGATGAGAAAGTTAATGATTAAGATCAAAGTGGAAGATTCAAATAAGAAGGCTAAACATTTCGAAAAAGTAAAAATAAAAGTTGAGGGTAAGTTTATAGTTGAATCAATGAAAATTTACATAATATGAATAATCTATAACGATAGTTTACATCTTTACATAGGATGGTTGTTTGTTTACCCCTCAATAGTTCCATTAAGAGTCAACATTTGAATCGTTAAGAGGTGAATCTTGTTTGAAAAAAAAAAAAAACATGTCACTTAATGGTTCTAAAATCATCTGCATTATTTTGTATCCTGAGCCTTCCTTCTCCATTCAAGGCCCTAATTTTGTTATAAATAATTACTAAACAATTATATTTCATTTTGTTAAATATTAATATTCTCCGTCAAACCATTCAGCAATTGTCAATCAGCACTTACGGACTTTTTTATTTCAACTTTGGCTTGTTTGAATGATTTGCATTCTAAAGCGTTAGAGTTGAATTCATATGTTTACTGGCGTGGTTATGGAACCCTAGATTCGCAGCCAGATTGAACCACGGGGGAATATTCCGGTGACACTTTCTTCATCCTATCTAGAAATTTCCGTTATTCAATAAAAAGCAAACAAAATAGAAACTAAATCTACTGATTTCTCAATCGTTGATCTGAGTATTGAGGTCTACAAATGACTAGATGCGCACATGGAGTCCTGATCCGACGTAATAGAAAAAGAATCGGCTAAAAAGAACTCACCGAGTGCACGGCGGAGTGTCACCCGGAATAATGGCCGGAAACATCCGAGGCGAGGCGAGATGCGATAGCAGAATGATACATGATGTCGTGGAAGTTAGCAGTTTCCACCGTCTTCATCCGCATCTGCTTCGCCTTCTCCTCCGTGAAGCATCCCGGAGAAAAACGAGATCTACACTGATAACTTTTATCTGGATCTGAACTTTCAGTTACGGATCCATCGGTGATAGTTGTTGGATTGTGAATGTAGTCCGGATCTGACGACCAGCCGAAGATCGGTGTCCACCATTTGCCGGAGGCCGATGCGGCGATTGCTGGATTCTTCCGGTGGCTGCGGTGGTTAGATGAAGCGCAGGAGATAATCGTGATCGGAGTCAAAAAAGATGCCATTGATGTAGGTGACAATGACGAAGAGGATGGATATAAAGAAAGAAGCGTGAAATGGATAAGATCGGACACGTGGCCATTGCAATAGGTGTATAGCTCAAACGCTTTAATTGCACTTCATGCGCTTTAATTGCACTTTATGAGCTTTATTTGCAGTTCCGTACAATGAATCCGACCGTTGATCCAAATAGGTGCCTAGATATTTTACGGTGATTGGAAGAATACTTACAAAATACAATAATTTAATTTTAATATTTTTTTATTTTCAATCAATGATATAACATAGTTTTATATGATTTTGATAAAATGATAATATTTTTATTTTTTAATAAATAAAAATATAAATATGAAGATATCATGACAAATTGAAACAAAAGACATTGATATTAATACTAAATTAATTATGTAAAATTTCTCTTTTTGTGTATTTCTTTAATTTATTTATTTTCTTGATTAAATAATATAATTTTTATAAAGATAATAATTAAGTAAGTATTTTTATATGTTAAATCTTTTATATTTAAAATAAGATATTTATTATATATTTGATTATGTTTATCTATGGTTATTTACACGAATTCAAACATGAAATTTTAATAAGTTATACTTACGTGTAATTTACTTGTAATCTTGAATTTTAATTAACATGCATCAATAAGCAGTACTTCATGCATAAAAAATAATTTTTAAGAGTTTTTGTCAAATGTTTTATAATATAGTATAAATTAGATCAAATAGAGGTTTTATAACAACTTATTTTTTTATATTTTTTTGTTATTATATCTTTTTTAAATTAGGATGGTAGTTTTTGTGAGAACCTTTTTATGGGTTTTATATATTTTTTCAACATCAATAATGATTACATATTTATAAATAAATATCAAATATGTAATTTGAAGTATATAAAAAACACAATAATTTAATTATTACTTCACAAAAATTTGTATGTAGAACTAAAGTTCTTGTACAAAAACTTAAAGGAGGTAATATTCTTATAAAAACTCTCTACAATATTGCTATTGTAAAAAACTACATTTTTTAATAAGAATCTTGTATTGGAGAAGGCTTTAGAGCATCTACGACCCTTATGCTATTTTAGATATTTGAAAAAGTTTATTTTAACAACTATATTAAACTCTCTCTTATAATAAAGAAAAAAAATGAAATTTATTTAAAATTTTAAAAAAGTAATTAAGAAAATATAGTATATCTGTCAAAGATGTTTTTAACTTGCTACTAATTTAAGAGAATTCAGGAATCTATTGTAGGAATGGATTGTTTTTATAATTTAAAAAAATATAAAATTTATGCTGGAATAAAAAATAAATTATAAATGAACCGGATATTTCTTGTTAATTTGAAAGATCGATAAGAAAAAACTCATGTCAAATTAATATTAAAAATCCTTGTTTATGTAATTTTGTTTAGTTTAAATGTTTTTATAATAATTTAAATATTTTAATAGTTACAATAATTATTTTATTTTTATTTTAATGATGTAGTATTTTTTAGAAAAAAAATAATATTGAAATATCAATTAAACTTAATGATAGTAGCCATGGAAACTTTTTCCGGACAAAGTTCGTAGTTTTTTTTGGAGAATGAGACAAATAAAGCTTCCGATGCGATCTTTTTTGATTAATCGAGGAAAAGATCTAAATTATGTCTTATGTTCTTGATGTAACAAGATCTTGTTACTTGCAGTAAGGTTCAACATATGTGGGAAAAGTTTTTAAAGATTCAATAAGTGGGAAATTAAAAGTTTCTAAAATGGTGGGGTCTTCACATTATATCAACAAACTCGACTTCGGATCTTCTTGTCTTGATATCATGTCCTTCAATTATTCGTCCTCTTGAAGATTTTTGGATGGCGGTTTTTTTGGTACAGGTTTTACATCATTTGAAATTTTCGAAACCAGACGGTGTATTTCGAGAGAACCCCCCTACATTCAACTAGTATCATATTGCTAGTTATCCGCTCAAGCCAAGGATTTCAACTATTCATGGATGGATTGGTGTTGCAACCTAGATGGTTAGATGGGTTCTTGTGGCTAGTTGTTGCATCTTTTGTTTCATTTCTTCAAATGCTTTAGGGTAGATATTGGATTTGCAAACATCATACCTGAATATACTGTGCTCGTTTGGTTTATCTGATTTGACTTCTGATTTCCATTATATCAACCAACTAAACCCAAACTTGTAATTTTCAAGCAGGATATAAGGTTTGGAGTTTGGACCTATTGGTTATGAATTCAAAACTCAAACTAACAATCTATGATCTCTGTATCTACTGTTGGTGGGACTATGCCCCCATTTTAGTACTATTCTGATGCAATTCAGTATATTTTCGAGCTCTTAAGCATCATTGATGTATGGTTCTACTCTGTCTCATTCGCCAGGGTAAACCTGTGAAAAAATAACACGAAAAAAGCACGAGATGTTAAATATTTGGAGCTCGTTGAAAACGTTTGTGACGAAATTTTCACACATAAGATGGACGGGTGAAGCAAACCTGGGTTCGTCTCTCTTCGTTGAAACTATGGTTTCGAACCTTTAGCTCGCCTCTACTCGTAGTCATTTCGTCTAATATTTCAGCATCGCATACCGTCACTTCACCTTCATTGTTTTCGCTACCAACACTGTCCGAGTCCTGATTATATATAAATATATCTTCTCATTGAGTGGAATATAAGAGTATCTATAACAGTTATGCTAAAATAGAGATTTAAGAGTTCTTTTTTGCTCCAACAGCTACACTAAAATAGAGATCTAAATGATGTATTACGATGATGAATTTATAGAAATATTTAATTAATATATTAAAGTTAAAATTGTTATAATAGAGTAGCCGTTGGAGTTGATAATTATTTAAAAAAATTGATATTTAATACTCTATTTAAAAAAAATTATAACATAGTTGTTGGAAATGCTCCAAGAGAAATAAAGGAAAATTCATTTAGGAACGGTAAATATTTTGAGAACCGTAAACCAACTAAATGAGTTATTCATGATGAATATACCTAAATATTGACAAATGCTATTGACCATCAATATCATACATTTTCATTATTCATCATGAATATCTATCTATTACTATATTCTCCATGAATAGTTGGTTCTTACGGTTCTTAAAATATTTATGGTTCTCAAACACACAGATATGATAAATGCGGATACATTTGAAGATGACGTACCCTGAGATTGAAGCTGGGATGTCGTGATGGACCACCCACGATTTCCTCATACTCGGCTGCATCAAGTTCTCTCAAATGGTGAGGATGAAACAGCTTTGGTAGAATGTGTTGTCGTATGGCGATGAGAAGGAAGAATGGCACCGGAAAGAGAATGCCCGCGATTGGGATCCATGTCACACCGAAACACACAAGAAAATAGATAATCTGGAAGACTGTGAATATAGCAATGCTTCTATATGGAACCGACTCAACGAAAGAAGCATGGACCTTTTCTAGAACCCTGTCAAATTTTGATGATGAAGCGTTGGTACATTAATTCACTGGATGGTAAAAGAAATCAAGAAATGTCTAACATTATGTTCAACAAACTAGCCTATAAGCTAAACGTTAACCGATAAACTACTCATGTTTAGTAAAATGACCTAAAAGGACATTTTGAAAATTTAATTAGAAGATATAAGGGGAATAAATGGAAAAAAAAACTTTAGAAGCTTATTGAAACACAACTTGACTTGGGCGTAGTTTGGTTGATTTTTCATTAAGTCATGAAAGTTGTCTCCATAGATTGGGAAGTTTTTGTATAGAAGAGGTTTTTTCATAAGATGAAAGGAGCGTGTTTTTTAATAAGGAGGGTGTGTTTTGGAAAAAAAAACATTGGCTTTTTTAAATAAACTCTCCTAAAACTTTACCGAATAAGCCACTACAAAACAGTCATTGTATAGCTCATTAAGTTGCTAACAAACAGGCCCTTAGCTAAAAAGCTAGTTTACCAAACCAAATAAACTCAGTATATTCCACCTGAAAGCAGGGTCTGGGAGGGGAGAGGTGGGATGTATGCAGTCCCGACCTCTACCTTGACCTCTACCTCACAGGGTCAAGCGGCTATTTTTGTGGAGACCCGGCTTGTGCTTCAAAAAGCTAGCTTATGGCCCACCAAAAAAAGGTTTTTTCTAATAAGCTCGAAAAATAAGCTACTTTTTGGTTGCAAGTAAATTGGGATGATTTGGAGTCCAAGAATAAAAGGATAACTCACTTGTATCTCCGTCCAGGGAGAACGAAAAGAAGCAAGATTCTTTCCCAGAACTGGTTTCCAGGAAGGCTGTCGATGGCCATGTACGCAAAATAGCCCCATAAAACCGAGGTGGGTATCAACTTTATTAAGGGCATAGCACATATAGATGCTGCTAAAAGAAGTGACTGTAGCAAGTTGCTGACCCTTTGCTCGTTAACTCGAACAGGTAAGCAGGCATCTATATGCTTTTCAGGATCAAACTTCTCGTTTGTGTTTTCTCCTCCATTTTCTACACTCATTACTGCTTCCTGCAAGTCTTTGAGTTCTTTGACTATTGCAGTTGTCTGTGATCGAAAAAAACCAATTGAAAAGATGTCAAGGAAGCGTGATTGAAGTGAGGATTATCGCTAATTTAAGACAAAAAGAATTGGGATCATGTGAGACCCGCTTGTTTACGTGAGACCCATGAGACAACCTAAATAACACCGAATCTTCACAATAAGACATTGAAACCTTCACAGTGTTTTTGCAGTGAAAGTTCGGCTTTTTTGTACCTTCAGTGTTTTATGGTGAAGATTTGGTGTTATTTAATGGTCTCATGGTCTCACACAAACAGTCTGGTCTCACGAGAACCCAGCCCCACTTAACAAATATTAGATGGGAAATTTACATTTGGAGAGTTGTCGATTTCTATGAACACGTTTTGCATCTTGTCGTAAATCTCGGAATTGCTAGCTTTCCGTTTTATGCTTTCATTGGCACTCTCCACCATCTTCCTTTTGATAAACTGGTATAGTAAGTGGATTGTTAGAAGAACTAAACCATTTGGTGAAGAAGAAAATTGAGATGTAAGAAATCTTTTTTTCCATTTGGACTTGCCTGTCTTTTAAGAACAGCTAGTGCTTTAGAGTGCATGGGGGACTGAGGCAAGACACCATTTGAAGGGGGTAATCCAATCAATCCACAAAGCAATGTCTGGGAGGACATTTAGTAACAAAGGAAATTAAGAACATTTAGTAACATAGGAAATTAAGAAGGGGATAGTCCCAATCAATCCACAAATGCATGATCTTCATGAAGAATATATTCGTGAATACTTTTAAGGGAAAATTGTCCAGAATAGCCATTCCAAACTCCCCAATTCATTTATACCCGGGTTTTTTTTACCTACTTTTTATGAATTTAATGAATTAAAATAATCTTTTAGCAAGTTGCTAAAGTGTTGCTTGCAAAATGCTTACATGGCAAATAGCACTTTAGCAAGTTAGGCAAGTAGCATTTTAATAGCTCTAGCAAGTTGCATCGGTGGCACTTCAACGTCAACATTTTACAGGTAGCACTCTAGCAACTTGCAAAATTGCTATTTTTTGAATATTATATTCATAAAAAGTGATTTTTGCAAATGGCTATTTCGGTCAATTATGTAGAAAAGCGGCTATAAGGTGAATTGGGGGGTGAAAATGGTTGTTTTGGACAATTTCTCTATTTTAAGGTCATTCATTATGAATATCTCATGAAATAGTAGGTTTTCATGTTCTCGATTTATTCTTTTTCCTAGGAAATAACAAGTGTAAAGTATATTTAATAATAAGAAGAAATCATGGGTACCATAAATCCAAGCAAGAAAATGTCGTAATGATAGGCAGAGGGGTTCTTGAGATTAAATTCTTTTTGCTGAGCCAATTGTGAAGCAACGCTGTGGTCAAAGAAATAAAGCCCGGCTATCATAACAGCTGGGATGAAGGCAGCCAAGATATACACCGGAGGAACCTTACCCATGTCCTGCAAGTAAATTGTACGAAAGTAAGGGATGGGCTGCAAGATTTTTTATCTTACTGAAGGAAAACTTGCAAACATCTACCTTAATTACAGTCCAATGGTATAAAGATTCAGATTCCCATAAGAGTGGACTAATGAGCCTTCTTGGGACACCAGATGGGGTTTTGCTTGGTACACTGAAAGAGAGTGCTGTCCACACTACAACCATCAATGGAACCCCATAGTCTGCTATGAAACTTCTGATCTGCCCTGCATTGACAACAAAAGGAATTACATGTTAAGATTGTTAGAATCCCACATCAGCAAAACTTGGATCATTTGACCTTGGATATGTTGAAACATCTCTCCTCAAGTGCTCTTTTGGAGAGTAATCTAATGGGGTTCAAAATATTTCCCACGAATATGATGTAGCAAATAGCCAAGGCACCAAGGTCCCAATAAACTTGAAGTATAAGTGCAGAATGTCCAAAAAAATGTACACACCTGTTCCATACAACCATGATCTAGCTCTCCTGCTTCTCAATGAGGTGTATAGAAGGCCGAACGAAAATATAATTGCAAGCAGGCCATTAGTGTAAAGCCACTGAAATTGATACTTAACTGAGTTCGGGTCCTCAGATTTGGGAATTTCGAACTCGCTCACTAGTCCCTAGTCAACAAAATTACACTTGAGAACCGAACTTGAAATATCAATGGCAAATTATCATAATCAGAACTTCTTTCTACATAGCTAAATACCTTAATGGCCTCTTGAACGAAAAGAACAGAAATTAACATCCCAAAAGTTTCCCCTGCAATCCTTGTAAATCTACTGATGATAGCACAAGCATTGAAAATTGCCAAAAGAAACAATAGCAGAGCTGTCCATGTGCATACCCTGCAAAACATCAACATTGGGGGCTATTAAACTATTCAATGTTGGGAGATTCAGAATTTTGTGAAAGCAAAACACTGGGGGTGAAAATTTTCTATATATATTACCATCCAGCCCAAGCCAAGAATAGGTGCTGCCCCAAATCTTGCCTCCCTTTGGCAAAATTGTACAAGTAAATATACATTATAATGGTGGGTTCTGCAACTCCCAGTATCAGAAGCGGTTGTCCACCAAGAATTGAGTGTATGATGCCACAAATAGCAGTAGACGCCAAAGTCTCCACAGTGCTCAAGCTTCCATCTAGATATTATACATAGAAAAAAGGGTGAAAAAATGAACTCATATATAGGTCCGTACAGATTTTACTATTTGTACCATCTTCGTTTCCAATTTCCTCCTCTACTTCACCTGACCGTTATAATAAGGTATTCCTCCAAAATCCATACGGGCAACTTAATTCATACAAAATTTAATAAAAAAACGACCAAAAAGCCCCTTAGCTACCATTCACAAACACACACACATACTCTCTCTGACTATCTCTCTCCCTGTCTCTAACCCGTTTCAAACTGCTACATATGGGGAAAGGACCATGCTAAAATAACTCTGTAATGCGAACTATAAAGGATACTCTTGCTGGTGTGCAAAAACATTTGTGTATTTACACAGTTCAAGAGACGGTTCAGGAATTACCTGTATCTCTGCTAAGCTGCTCCCCGAAAGCAATGACAGGAAGTGCAGATGCAAAGAAGATATAAGCCGTTGGAGCTAATATCCTACCACATCATCAAAAGTTTAGAAAAGAAAAAAAAGGTACTACCTACTGCTAAAAACGTAGTTACCAACTTTTTTATGGAGAAATAAGATGAAATAAGTGTACTCGAATAAACATTGAGATCAGTTACATGAAGAAATTTACCCAATTCCAGACCGAATACCAGCAACCCAATCTTGTTTGTAACACAATGCTCTTCCTCTAATGTCCCCTGCAATCCCTCTGAATGGAGACTTCATATTCTCCATTCCTGATATCATCCAAAAATAAATCCAATTCAGTTTCGACGTTCAGTATTAGCCATAACTTTAGCTCTTAAAAAGAAAATTCATTGGCGTTTGAACAGGTTCAACAAAAATGGGATTCAAAAAGCTTTTACGAAATCATTTATGGCTATAAAACTAAAAATCATCTAAAAACGATCCAACTTGGTTTTACTGTTAGTGTTCGCCATAGCTTTAGCTCTTAAAAGTAAAAATCATTCATGCATTTGAACATGTTGAACGAAAATCGGATTCAAAAAGCTTATAGGAAATCACCTATGGCTAATAAACCAAAAATCATCCAAAAATAATCCAATTCAGCTTGTATTTAAGTATTCGCCATAGCTTTAGCAAAATCATTCAGGCATTTGAACAGGTTCAACAAAAATTGGATTCAAAAAGCTTATAGGAAATCACCTATGGCCAATAAACCAAAAACCATCCAAAAACAATCCAATTCCTTTCGTCCTTTCAGTTTTCGCCATAGCTTTAGCTCTTAAAATTCAAAATCATTCATGCATTTGAGCAAGTTCAACGAAAATCGGATTCAAAAAGCTTTTACGAAATCACGTATGGCTGTAAAACTAAAAATCATGCAAAATCAATCTAATTCCGTTTGTACTTTCAGTTTTCGCCAACGCTTTAACTCTTAAAAATCAAAATCGCTGATGCATTTAAACATGTTCAACAAAAATCGGATTCAAAAACCTCATACTAAATCACTTATGGCCAATAAACCAAAATACACCCAAAAATAATCCAATCCAGTTTGTACTTTCAGTATTCGCCATAGCATTAACTCTTAAAAATCAAAATCGCTGAGGCATTTGAACATGTTCAACGATTATCGGATTCAAAAACCTCATACTAAATCTCTTATGGTTATAAAACTGAAAATCATCCAAAAACAATCCAATTCCGTTTGTAATTTCATTATTCGCCATAGCTTTAGCTCTCAAAAATCAATAGTAGGTAGAACTTATTAGATACGAAGCATTTGAACATGTTCAGCGAAAATCGGATTCAAAAACCTCATAGTAAATCATCTATGGCTAATAAACCAAAAATCATCCAAAAACAATCCCATTCAGTTTGTACTTTCAGTATTGTCCATACCTTTAACTCTTAAAAATCAAAATCGCTAATGCATTTCAACATGTTCAACGAAAATCGAATTCAAAACGCTTATACGATATCACTTACAGCTATAAAACTGGAAAAGAAAATCAACAAAAAAGAGCTAACGCTTCATCATCAAATAACGCCGTCATTAATGGAAAAATCATCAACATAAAAGAAGTCAAAAGTAACCACCAATCTGCCATTGAAACTCAAAAACACAAACCTCCTGCAATTACTTGTATCAATTCACGAGGATTATGAGGTTGAAGATGATGATGATATTAAGAAAAGCAGTAGTTATGAAAGGAACAGTGAATTCAGAAATTTTGAAATCTTCAAGGCTCAATTCTCTCCTTCTTAAACCATCCGCCCGGCGCGGGTAGGTTAGGATCCACTACACACCGCTTCACCTCAGCACACGCTACAACTGGGCCCACAATAGTCAATAGTCATGGCCTTTTGATGTCCGAGGAAATTTCAACTAATTCACGTGTATATATGTGTATATATATATATATTTTTTAAATATATTTCTATTTATTTAAAAGATAGTTTGTTTATTTTTTAATAGTTCTATTAAGAAAGAGATAAATTTTGTTTAATAAAAAAAGTATATCTTTTAATGGTTCTAAAATCTTCGAATGATTTTGTATCATGAACCTTCCATGACCATTCAGCGTTCTAATTTTGTTGTGAATAATTATCAAACAATTACATTTCATTTTATTCTATATCATGAGAGTCTCTTAATTATTCTGACCATTTAATCATTCTACATCAAACCATTCAACAACTGTCAAACAACACCTAAATTTATCTAACATTACAACATGTGTAACGGATTCATTAAAAAAATATAACATTTTCAACCACTACGTTAAAAAAGAGATTTTAATGAACACTTGTTTTGGTAAGTATTTATCGTTTTAATTATTTTACCAGGTAAACATAACAAGGACTACGAATCTTACCCCGTAAATAAGAGTGATGACTCTTACTCGTTAAACATTTATCATGTCATAAACGCTTATCATCAATTGATTTTGATGGTCGAGAATGTTACCCCGTAAATTGAATTAGAGTTGCGACTCTTGTCGATAAGCGCTTACCCATGGTAAGTGGTCTCTTAGGGTATATTTTTGCTGCAATATTAATGTTATATTGTATGCTAAAATAAGAAGAAGGAAAAAAAAGAGGGTAGAAATCTCCAAAATTTAGAGAAAATCTCTAAAATTGTGTATTTAAAGGATAAATAATACGTAATTCTTTCAAAAAGACATTGAAATTAAGTATTTTGTGGAATGAAATAATATTTTATTAAATATATTGAGTATTTTAATAATATAGTAGGTGATGTTTGGCAAACTAGGTGATAAGTTAACTGATAATTGATAAGTTAGTTGATAAATAAATCATGGTTGACAAAAAATAACTGATGAACATGTAAAATAACAAAAAACAGCATCCTAAAAAAATGAGGTAACTACAATGTTTTATAATATAATTAAAACAAATATTTGATAACATAATACATTAATACAAACAAAATAGTAATGCAAAAATAAAATAAAATAATATGTTAATTAAAATAATTTTAAATTGATTATTATATATATTATAAATTTTGGATTTATTAAAATGAATTTTAAAAAATAATATATATTAATTATTTCTAATTTTAAATAACCTTTACATGAATAAAAACAAAATTAGTTAACCTCACATGAATTAAAAAAAATCATTTTGGATTATTTAATCAATAAAAATTATTACATAAATTAAATATCTATAATTTTTAAGTCTAAAAATTATTACATAAATTAAGTATCTTATAATTAATATAAATTTTAAATAACACTTTAGAAACATGTGTATGGAATATTTGTCATGTAAAAATAAGAGTTAAAACGAGAAGCATAATAGGGATATGGACCCTTAATTACTTTTAATGAATTGTGTTTGAAACAAACATTGTTTTAGTGCATCTCATTAGTGTTGATATTTAATTATGATTGATCTAACGGTGGAGATCTCTTATTACCTTTCTCACAATGATTTCCATTTTCACCGGAACCGTACCCGATGATGAAAGCTCAAATGATAACAATAAGTATTTTAAGAATTTAATAAACAATTATTTCATGTATTATTCATTATGAATAACCTTATATATTCATAAATTTTATTTATCATGAATATATGTATTTTCATTATGTATGATTTCATGTATTTTCATTATAAATAATTATCGTAATAAATATATTTCATAATATAGTTATATATTTTCAAAATATTTACCATTGCTACTTGAACTTATATAAGAAATACAAAGAAAGCAAGAATTATAACAAATTTACTTGTTATGCTTGTGGAAAAGAAGGTCATTTATCTAGTAAATGTTCTGGCAAAAGAACACTCTTTAATCAAAGAGTTGATCTTATTAATTGCACCAATGAAGACTTAGTTGAAACATTTATTACCACTTAATGTGGTAATTTAAGACATTAAATAAGGATTATTGTGTATACTAGATTAAAATTTATGACGTTATTATTACTGACTAATAAAATAAATATCTGTAAAAAGAAGAGTGTAAAATTCTTTTATGATAAAAAAATTCAATTATTTTGTAAGAAAAAGAATAAAACAAAGAAAATAGAGGACTGCAAATAAAATCCAACAACTAAAGTCAAAACTCGTGTTTTCCTTATTCAAACATACAATAATTTATCTCATTTCGCATTCAATTTTTAAGATGTTTCGGAGATCGATACGTAAAATATGTAACATATAATTATAATAAAAAACAATAAAATATATCTATACTATATTATAAATCATTTGACAAAAACTCTTAAAAATTATTTTTTATGCGTAAATTAGTGTTTATTAATATAATGCATATTACTTAAAACTCAAATATTACAAGTAGATTGTGCGTAAGTACAACTTATTAAAGCTCCATATTTGAATTCGTGTAACTAACTGTAGATAAACATAATCAAATACAGGATAAACATCTTATTTTAAATATAAAAAATCTAAAAT